CGAGAAAATGTTCTAAGCCAGCGTTTACCACTGATAATTCAACTACAACGTTTTCAGCTTATGTTTTGCCCATCCAGTGTCATCAACATTTTGCCATCCTTTGTGCCCACCTCTTCGACCAATATGAGATTTCCTACGTCCACGTTTTGATTACACTCGCGTGAGATACCGCCAATATGCATTATCAGTGGCGAAAGCATATAAGGGCCTATCCTCTCCACGCGCATTGAATAAGCACGGAGCATTTTCTGAGTACGAGTTTTATGATGCGAATTGTATGCTTTAGTCAAATTGAACAGCCAAATACCAACAGAGTAAAAGCATAAATATATGGAGACACATATAGAAATCGAAAAGGACACAAGAACGAAGAGAAGATACTGAAACGTATACAAACATGCCACATTTTTCCATCACATTGAATTGTGACCCAAGCCGAGACGATCGATTCGGTACAAAAACAATAGCGGCAGCGTATAGGACACAGAAAAGCAGACCTTCCGACACATCTGTAATATCGAGCGTATTGCAATTTCTATATGTACAGCGACGTGAGAAAAATTAAAGTGCCTGAAGACCTCTTTAATCAGTTCATAACAACCAATTCTGTACAAATGCCATCGAATGTTCAAGTATGCAGCACTCTAAACAAACACATCACTGATTAAGTGGTATCATTGCGTATAATAATCTGCCTTTGTTATAAATCATTATAATCATTATATTACATTACGTAAATTGTTGTTTGGTCCACACGCGCCATACCTTCAACCTTTTAAATGTGACCTCCTTGTCCTTTAGCGCCATACTTGAATATAATTGCACCTGGATAAGGAGAGAGCTACGACGCTATAGTTGTTTGTTAATGCGATATAGATATCGAATTATTTACACCTCAGTATTAGAAATTAACTTAGCGACAACGGGTCGTTTACACCGTTAGCATGATAGCGTATAGCTATTTTTAGTTAAACAGTTCAATGGTACACAACAAGCAAAAGTCATCACGCCTCCGACTGGCCCGACGAGAAAGATGTACGACCGGCACAGCGGGAGCCTAAGCAACCGAAGTCGCACCCAATCGATGTTACGACCGCCCAGGGTTACGACTGGTACGAGTCTTATTTGACGATCATGTCACACGCCGCGCTGGCGCGGCGCGAATGGCACAACAAAAGAAAGATCAAGAAACGGCCAGTTGTCGCCAACTAAATAGTATCCCCGTGATCTAGTATGACATGAATATCTTCTGTAAGACGTAGAAGGCAGGTAAAAGGTTAAAATATCCAGTCACAAAGACAAAGGTTTCGTTAGACAACTGGTCTGCCTCAGATTCTGCAAGTATATGCGAAATGCTGGTTACACCTAGGAGGAATATTTTTCACTGGTGAACAGTACCCGCCCCGCCCTACCCCCCTCTTCGTTACCGATGGGCTTCTTGGTCGTTAACTAATGTCCGTAAGGAACTTTTAGAATCGGCAGCAGGTACCGATTACGAAAATTGTCCGCACATGGCGACTGCGACGCAAGCGTGAAATGTATGTCCTGTCCGTCTGAAATGTTGCTTTTTTAACCGTTGTGACGGAACTATAGGCTAGTGATCTAGCTTACTCGTCTTCCCGTCTCGAAACCCTCCGTAAAGAGGCTAAATGGGTGAAATCTCGTCTATGCGCGGTTTTCGAGGCAGATACGCGTAGAATTTCGCGCCGGCCGATTAAACAGTAATGGCCCATAATACATTTCATGTGTTTTGCTCGTACACTCCACCATTCTCCAATAAACACACTTCACACAGTTCCATGTCATAAATACTACCTAATACTGTAGACTATACGCGAGGATACAAATAGAGTACGGCAGCAAATAAATGAGGGAGTGCGTTTCTGGTCAAGACTATCGTGATTTGGAAATCTCGCGATTGCGATAGGATCTAGGGGCACTAATGGAGACCTTTTAAGTTCGTAAAGACCTTAATAATTATAAGCGTATATAATAATCACATGACTATAATTGAATAAATTTACACAACTTGTAGTACAGCGTTCCTGATCACATGCGATACCGATGAGCCAACTCCCTTTCGTCTGGCGGTTTGACAGTGTTCCGCGGCCGGGCGGCGCAGGAGGCAGTCATAACCCATCTGGCGCATGCGGTTCAATATGTATACTATGATATATGATACCAAATAGTATGACGCTCATACACCATTGACAGTTCGACGCTATGTTCTGCGCATCGTAGGTTACGATCTCCGCAAGAGCCCGGATTGCAGAGTAAAACTCCCGACAACTATTGTTTTATCTCGATGCGTATATCCTGCTTGCATATGCAGGTCGCTTCTGGAATATGTTGGCCATGAAGGCTGCACGTTATGCCTAAGAAGCAAAGACGCATTGTTTTTGGTGTGGGCCAGGACGCTCCATCTGTTTCCATGCCCTGGTAACAACGGTTCTTTGTGTGAACATATTGTAGAACCATTACAGGTTAACGTTGTCGCTTGTTGTATTACGATCTTTCGTGGGAATTTGGCAACAGGGCCAGATACCTAAACTGTCATATATGAGTGTAGTAGTGGGGTCTATGTATATATAGTATATATTTGTGATGGACAACTCATAAATTCTATATATAAATTTAAACTACCAAATTTTATACAAATATTTTATTTCTTTATACTTTTTTTGCAAAATATTTCTTTTTTCTTTTATTTTTTCTAAATCTTTTTAAATTATTAATTTTAATACAAACACATCTAATTTCATGACAATCGTGGGTAAAAAGTGCAGAAGTTACAGGTTCTAGAATATTTCGACAAAAAATGTTGTTACCATGGCAACGATGACTACGCCCAAACCAAAAACGATAGGTGTCTTCGCTTTACGATAACGCACCTTCATTCAAAATTTGAAGATGATCCGAGAAGAACTGCAGCCGGTAGAGCGCTCACAAGGAAATCTCTGCGGCGGCGGCGGCGGCGGCGGCGGCGGCGGCGCGACGATGCCAAATCCATAGTATCCCCACGAACTTCGTTCGGGGGATACAATAAATATGCGACGACGACAGAGAAAGTAATCACCTACGCAAGGCTGAAAGAAATGGAGTGACACAGCGGGACCTCAATCTAACACCGGTGTCGCACAAGTTTTACAACCCAACCAGGGTTAAGACTGTGCGATATCTTTACCATTGTCAAGCCGAGCACGCCGCGTGCACGTGGCATCAGCGGTATGGCATAAGCCGGCACTATGACATTTTAGTACCCATAGGAGGCTGCTCGACGAGGGCTTCGAGAAACTTCTATCGATGCCTCCACCATATCTGCAAGGACTCCGCGGCTGCCGTTCTCACGCTAGAGAAGGAAGTCTCTCACCTTCAGTTGTCCATCAAATCCTGGAGAAGGACACAGGATTGCACCATCGCATGCAATACAGCCTTGAGGACACTTGGGCCATGCATTCCTCCAGTTGCATAAATACCGAACAGTTTCGACAGAAAGGCAGACACAGTTTCCAGGCGCTAAACAGTTCCCGACGCTGTCAGCAGCGCACTGCTCTCACCTGCTGCTCGCTGCCACCGTTGCCGCCGGACGCCGCCGCCGTTGCCGCCGGACGCCGCCGCCGTTGCCGCCGGACGCCGCCGCCTGACTGCATGAGGACCTGCATGAGTGTGACATATCGACGGGAGAAGTGGCGTATAGTCCGGGGGCGTGATTTTTATTCCCACTCAGATAGTGGCATTAATTTGCATGCCTGCTGCTCTTAGGTCGTAAGATATGAACCATTTGTAACGCGTATTTGATTATTGGCCTATGATATTCATTATTAAAGAAAAGAGTAACCGTAGTAATTCTGTGGTTATAGCATTATACTGTCTGTGGCTTAAGTGCAATAGCACACGTGCCTATATTACACGGGCTCACAAGCTTCTCTATATATATTGTGAGGAAGCTGCATATATGCTTATTGTATCCCCCGAACGAAGTTCGTGGGGATACTATGGATTTGGCATCGTCGCGCCGCCGCCTCCGCCGCCGCCGCCGCCGCAGAGATTTCCTTGTGAGCGCTCTACCGGCTGCAGGTCTTCTCGGATCATCTTCAAATTTTGAATGAAGATGCGTTATCGTAAAGCGAAGACACCTATCGTTTTTGATGTATGATATCAACTTTCCACTATAGGCAACATTAACTTTCGTCAAATCCAGTAATCGCATCAGAAATGAGCGTCGCGTGAATGATAGCATTACACGTGTTGCGTTGAACGCAATAGATTCTAGATATAATCGAGAAGCTTCAGCCACGTCAATGAGTAAGCTAATACACTGGTGCCCCACCCTTCCCCCACCTGCTGAGGATTTACCACACCGAAAATTGACAACACCAGCAACATTCAAGCTCAGTTCACATACGCACACCACGAAACATACGTGTTCAATGCGCCTAACAGAATGGGCAGGAATAAAGTGGCCAAATAAACCTTGGGCGCATTGATGATTCAAATTTAATGATGCAGGGGACGAGGACGCAACTATACATGGCTTGTTATTGTATCTAGATGTAATTATATAGTGTATACATTATAGTCGAGTGCAGACAAACACCATATGGCAATGAGTTATAGCAGAGAGTAAATAATGACCACGTTGTTATCATATAATGTTTCAATTTTGTTTGAAATAGAGATATGCGTGTATACTTATTCTAAGGCACACACTTCTTCTCAAATTCCATCCCGACTGCCCCTTCCCTGAATTCTCTCTGTGATGAGAATTCCACCATCTTGTGACAAATCACTGAAGCCATGAACCTGTGCATGTTGAAGCGTACAGAGCTTCGTGCCGATACTACTTCATAAGAGCGAACTGAGCTAATTACAAGACTTACATTAACTAGCACTTCTCATTTTCCGACATTCGATACAATGAATGGTGTACATGGCCACATAAGACTGGGCAGCAGTGCGACATAAAGAAACACGGTAGGAGCAGCAGTCTGTCTACTCACTATATGCCATTTGGATCCTTCTCCGTGAGCTTTTCGAGGACGTTGATCTCCAGCTTCGCAGCCTCCCGGTACTTCTCCACATTTTTGATCACCTTCAGTGCAATCGTTTGGCCGTTAGCGCTGCAACAATAAAGTACACGTTTAGTTACAAGCATTGCATTTGCCAAAAGTAGTTCGTGGAATTTCATGCTATTGCTAATGATGGTTTATGTGAGGAAATGCTTTTTTGTAAAAAAATCTCCTCACAATTTGGTGAAACATGCAGTTATTTTAACTTAATGATTTTTACATATATTCGTTTCAGGTACAACGAGATTCGAGTGGTAAACTTCGCTCGATATAATTGCGTAGCATGTCACGTTAGCACTTAAAGTTAAAGATGAGGTTGTACACTATATATATATATACTATTGACGTACATTACGGACGTATAGTACAACACTGGCACGCGACGCCAGCACGCGAGACTACGCCTGTCCTTATCACCACACACGCAGCTAGTACTCTCGGCTGCCTACTAAGGAGGCCCTACATCACAATAGAACCCGAGAAGATCGAAGGCGAAACTTTCCGTTGCCGCGTCAATCAGTAGTACTGTGCGTATACGCGTACAAAGGCCATTTTCCCGTTGACTTATTCATATCGAGATTGCTTCCCGCTTTCCGTTCAATTCTGAAACAGTATTTTCTTTGAGATGCGTTTTTAATGCTCTGTGTTTCTGCTACGTCAAATTTCAGTGAATCGCGGTGGGTGAGCGGTAATCTTCATATCAATTCATTAAATGGGGATAGCCTGTTGTGTAGACACTACAAAGCTTCCCATTCATCACTTGTCTAAATAAAACTTAAGCCATTCTCCCCAGGGTCTAGCATGATTCTAGTCGGGGGCGACAACTCGCATATTCAAATCAATCTCAAAAACTCACGATCAGCACACACACTTTCATGCCCATCCTGAGCCGGATGCGCACTAATGAAATGCTGCGAATAATTACCAGCGCGATCGAGCGCATAGCTGCGCATCTCAGGTGGGCTTCATCTTCGTCAACTAATTAAGCAGTTTGACGACGACGCCAGGGCCGCAGCTGCTCATTCACCTCGCATCGACAGATGCCTGCATGCGCTCAGCGCTATTCAATACATGACACGCTTAGCACACCCACCACAGGATCACGCGTTCAGAAACAGAGCTCAGGGGCAAGGCATTATTTTAAACCCCAATGAACACGCTATAAGCTTCCTATGTAAGTTTCGTAGCAAAGTCTATACAATAACAACCCCGCCGCTGACACGTGTTGCTGAATACCTTCACAATAATCACATCGTACTTTTTAACTAGAACCTCAATGAGTACATAAATATCTGCAGAAATCACGTAAATGTTGTGTCGTACTATAAGAACACTTCGCCTCGTCACGATCTTGTATTCTACAAAATTCAGGCGAAGATGATGCACTGAAGTGATCAATTAAGGTCCCAATATTAAACATACTAAGATATATATATATATATATATATATATATATATATATATATGCGGACGCGTTTGACCCATTATATGGTTATGGAAATGAAGAAGTGTTCCAGACGGATTAGGGAGACCGGCAGTTATGGAACTTCATTACGAGCGGTTACATAATTAGATTACAGGCAGAGCTAAATAACTCAGCAACAGGAAGGAGGAACTGCCCTTGGGTATGTGCGCACTAGAAAACATATGGAGGTTAGTAACTGGAAAGTCATTGACCTCTGCACTGCTTTGTGCAGCGATTCTTAGAAGAGCCTATACATAGCGGTTTTTGTCTCATAGAAATCTGTTGCAAATAAGCTCCTTATTGCGCTTTCCCAACCGCACTTGCGTTCACTGCGATGATAACAGGGCAATGCTGAATATGCCACGTGAGTTCGAGTTATAGTGCAGTCTATAAGTCATACAAGATCACATCGCTGCTAGCTAGGCACGGACGGGAACAGAACGTTTACGACTATTAATAACTCATCTATGTATATGTCACATTAGCCAAAGAGAAAAAGAAGACAAGCAGTCGGATGATTCAGGTTGAATGCCGGCATCCCAGTGTGCTGGCGCCAACACACACACACACAGACGCAATTAACCAGCTCTCGCTGCTTTACTGATATAGCTTTCAATCTAATTTCACCGGAGCCTAAATAATTAATCTCCATTTTTAGTAATGAAACAGTTATATTGGCATTGTATATAACAGCAATCCAGTGATTTCTAGGATGCGACCTAAAGCAGCCTATACCGGCCAGTATAGGGCCATCACTCGTCTACAGTCGGTACACACTACACAGTAATGCCTCCCCGATGACTGCTAGCTAGCACGAGTATGCATGGCCTCCACAAGATGCGAACCCATTCTATCTTTCCGATGAATGCCGTCGCATCCTTCTCTGAGCCAGCACTTAGTGTGAGCAGTTAGCAGACTTTCTCAAGCAGTTTGCTGACCAAAAAAACACAAACGGCTGAATGGTTCGTGTGCCACACCAATTCATCATTCTTGCCAATCACACTCTCTTTGCGCGAATGGTAACTGCTTTGCTCGCGGTACTCGGAAATTTACGGTCTCGTAAAAATAACACCGCTTTATAATACCACACAAATCACGCAAATCGATCGTTCGGTAGCTATCTTGTGCATAACTGTCATCTGAATTAAAAATAAAACCTAGCGCTATGTCGGTAAAAATGTTACCCGTATGAAATGACCTGCACTGGTAATTACGTTAGCCTAGTGCTAGCACTATAGCGCTGCCATCATCTCTGTATAGAACCATCATCTTCTATTATTTATTTCCTTAATATTTTTCTTTATAGTTTCCTCATCATCATGGAATCGCGTCCTGTTATCCCTGAGCAGCCAAAACACTATATAAACACCGATAATACCCACATTTAGACGAACAACAGCTGTTCCTAGGGGATGGCATATAGGCGTTCAAAGCCAACGCTTCCCTGAGTTCTCGCTTCGCAGCTCTTAATCACACTCTCAGAATATCTTGCTCTCACCATATTGCGCAACGGAATCAAAGAAACCCCGAGAAATGTTCTAAAGCCAGCGTTTACACTGATAACATTCAACTACAACTTTCAGCTTATTTTTTGCCATCAGTGTCATCAACATTGCCATCCTTTGTGCCACTCTTCCGACCCAATATAGGATTTCCTACTCCAGCGTTTTGATTAACTACCGTGAGATACGGCCAATTCATATCAGTGGCCGAACAGCATATAGGCCTATCTTCCACGCGCATTAAATAAGCACGGACATTTTCTGAGATACGAGTTTTATGATGAATGTATCTTTAGTAATTGAAAAAGCCAATACCACGAGTGGCAATTATGGAGACACATCTAGAAAATCGAGGACACAGCGAAAGGAAGGTGCTGAAACGTATACAACATGCCACATTTCCCATCACATGAAGTTGTGACCAAACCGAGACGATCGATTGTAAAAAAAATAGCGGCACGTATAGGAACAGAAAAGCAGACTTCCGACAACATCTGTAATATCAGGTATGCAATTCTATATTGTACAGCCACGGAGAAAAATAATGCCTGAAACCTCTTTAATAGTTCATAACAACAATTCTGTACAAAATGCCATGAATGTTCAATATGGAGCACTCTAAACACACACATCACTTATTAATAGTATCATTTATAATAATTGCCTTTGTTATAAAATCATTATAATCATTATATACATTACGTAAATTGTTGTTTTGCTCACACGGCCATACTTCAACCTTTTAAATGTGACTCTTGTCTTTAGCGCCATACTTGAATATAATTGCCTGATAAGGAGAGACTAGACGTATAGTTGTTGTAATGACGTATAGATATCGAATTATTTAACCTAGTATAGAATTAACTTAGCGACACGGGTCGTTTAACGTTAGCAGATAGCGTCATAGCTATTTTTAGTTAAACAGTTCAAGGTAACAACAAGCAAAAGTCATCACGCCTCCGACGGCCCCGAGAGAAAGATGTAGACGGCACAGCGGGATGCCTAGCCGAAGTCGCACCAATCGATGTTACGACCCGCCCAGGGTTACGACTGGTACGAGTCTTATGACGATCATCAAGCCGCGCGTGGCGCGCGCGTGGCACAACAAAAGAAAACTAGAAACGGGCAGTTGTCGCCAACTACATGTATCCCCCGTGATCTAGTATGAATGGAATATCTCTGTAAGGACGTAGAAGGCAGGTAAAGTTAAATAAGTCACAAAGACAAAGGTTTGTTAGACAACTGGTCTGCCTCAGATGTGCAAGTATATGGAATCTGGTTACCCTAGGAGAAATATTTTCACTGTGAACAGTACCCCCCCCCCCTACCCCCCTCTTCGTTACCGATGAGTTTTTGTCGTTAATAATTGTCCGTAAGGACCTAGAGATGGCAGCAGGTACCGATCGAAATTCACGCAATGGCGACCTGCGAGAGCAAGCGTGAAATATGTTGTTTTTCGTTGAAATGTTGTTTTATTGAACGTTGGTGACGGAAACTATTAGCTCAGTGACATAGCTATCGTCTTCGCGACGTTCGGGAACGCTCCCGGTAAGAGGTAAATGGGTAAATTCGGTTATGGCGGTTTTCGAGGAGATACGTGAATTTACGCGCGACCGTTAACAGTAATGCCATAATCATGTTCCTGGGTGTTTGCTGAACATTCGCACCATTTCCTCAATAAGCACATCAACACAGTTCCATGTCATAAAATACTACTAAATACTGTAGACTATACGAGGGATACAAATAAGAGTACGCAGCAAAATGAGGGAGTGCGTTTGTAACGTATCGTGATTTGAACAATCTGCGTGAGAGGATTAGGGGTTCATAAATGACAGAGCCTTTTAATCGTAAAGACTTAATAATTATAAGTATATAATAATCAATGTGAATATAATGAATTAATTACCCAAACTGTAGAGTAACGTCGTGATCATCGCGTAACATGACTCAGTCTGTTTCGCGTCTGGGTTACCAGTGGTTCGGCGCACGGCCGGCGGCATGGGTCAAACCCATCTCCGATGGGTAATATGGATAGTATGATATAGTATACAAATATAGTCCTTCCCATACACCCCTTGACA